AGCAATGATACAGAGTGTGTCTAAATAAAAGCGAAAAATTTTAAGAGGTGATTCTTTGCCAAAAATTAAGGAGGATTTTTCATATAAACATATAGATACTTCTATATATCCCTCCTTGAGGAGTTATACTACATCAAAGGGAGAGGCAAAAATTAAGTTTTTATTCTTTTTCAAATTTTAAACAAGAATTAGGAAAATGTTTAGTGAACGTTTTTCACAAGTAGAAAGGATATTTATTGTAATATTTTTAGAAAATAAAAACTTAATTTTTACCTCTTCCCCTTTGAAGAAGTATAATTTTCTTAGGGAAAGATATAGGATTATATGTTTATATGTAAGAATCTCCCCCTTAATTTTCGATAAAAAATCTCCTATTCGCATTTATTTGGCAATACTCTGTATATCATGACAAAAATAAAAATTGTAGCACAAGTCAAATGAAAAAGAAGAGCGATGGAAGCGTAGTAAAGCTTTCAGAGGTGTAAATTGAAACAATGAACATAAAAGGGTCATTTACTTCTTAAACGGTTCTTTTACGCGTTGTTCTTTTCCAATTTATGCTTCCTAGAAACTTCATTTACGCTGCTGTCATTTTGCACTTACATTTACAGTTTGATTTTTATTTACGCCAGAAGCATAAATAAGATTATTTAAAATTAACTTTGTTTTCAATGTAACTACAATAGCTATATACGTAAGAGCAATAAATTAATTTAATTAAAAAATTAAGTTAGTTTTTCTGAGATTATTTAAAAAATTTAATTTTTTATAGAAAATAATATCGCAAAATACTAAATTATACATAGATCAGTTCTTTAACACTCAATAATCAGTTACAGAAGTAGAGGACTTATAAAGTCATTTAAAAGGATTATGAAGTTTGCAGATTTTATATATACATTTAATATTAATTATATAAGTGGAGGAAAGTCGCTGATACTGATATAGATCTCCTAAAGTGACACCCTTTGTTTCTTAGAAACTAACTATTGCACTTTATTAATTCTAATAAAATTATGATCTGTTTAGCTAATTAAAGAAGAACAAACTCATAATTCGCATATTTGTGGCTTGTTTCTATATCAAATCAGCTAAAAATTCTACGAATGTGAAAATAAAAATTTTACAATTTTTTTTTCACCATGCGAGTTTAGCTTTAATTTTGTACGTGTTTATTCTCACGATTGAGTATTTTATTTTTATGGCTTGTGCCGCGTCGCGTTGTAATTAACATAAAATCGATCGCATTGCAGAACATCAAGCTTCTGGGAAAGGACCTTTCAGTACGTGGACGAACAATTGTCTGCAGTAATTGCTGCGAGAACGTGAACGCCGTTCTGAAGGTCGTAGCGCCGGAATTGTTAAATGTCAAAGGAGATAGATAATCATGCTGAAGGAAGGATCGCTTGTCTCACATGTTCATAAATCTGAATATGCCTGCTTAGGTTTGTAAATACTATAGCTTTTTAATAAAAATGTAAGTACGATATATTGGATATTAAATCTTGCATTCGATATCGTTCCTTTTTCGAAGACAATGAAGTACGTGATTCATTAAGTTCATTTGCGTCATACGTGCTTATTTATTTGAAACGAAACAAGCGTATATTCTAAACAGAACAACAGGCCATTATAACGTCATTTTGAGGTCAAAATAAATCGTAAATCATCCAAAAGTAACTTTTAATAATAATCATTTTAAAAACATTGTGACACTATTTTGATCTTATAATGACTTTATGTTTTGCTTCGTTTTGTTAGACAATGTAGCCTATTCGAGAAAAAAAGAGTCTAAAGAAGTATATGAGTTGCAAGGCAAACAGATTATATTTTTACTCTTATTTTTATCACGCACTTTTGCATATTCGTCGATATTTACTTTAACAAACATTTATCTCCTTTTTCCTTAATATTCCATACGCTTAATATTTTTTTTACGCGCACGGATATCCTTTAATGCGACATAGCGAGATGTGCTACGATTGCACGGAGTTCACTTGACGAAACTGTCGCATATTTGCATCGCTGTTCGATTAAATGTAACATTCACATATAATTAAGATTCTACTTCAAAAGGCAATGAGTATTTATGTAAATGTAATTAACAAACGTACGAATTGACTCACCGGAGGTGATCCGCTGTCATTGTCCATTCGTTGACTGCTCCACTGCTCTGGATACTCACTCGCGCGATTACGCTAATTAACGCAACGTTATAAATTAATTCACGGCACTCCAGATTCTTATTGCGTACACACTACACGTCGAACAGATAAGAACCACGCGAACAACCCTATCCGACGTAGCATTCAGAACGAGAGCCGTAGGTCGCAAAACTAGAAACTAATCTAACGAAACTAACCAATTTAAATTATATATGCAAGACACGTAGAACCAAAGACAGAGAATGGACTGCACGATCCGTATCTAAGTAGTGTATCAAATATGGGAATGGAAAGAGATACAGATTGGCCGTCTTTCACGATCCCTCTCTCTTACTTTTATCCACAATTTTGACCACGGATCGCGCAGTCCATTGTCTATGGCTGCGTTCCGTTTCACGCATGATGTGCATAATGCATCATCTATCCTTGTTTAATATTCGGTGAATAGCAAGGATAAAAGATGCATCGTGCGCATCATGCGTGAAACGGAACGCAGCCCATGTCTTTGCACGATGAAGTTGAATGAATTTTACTAAGGCCGGAATCAGACTACGCATTGAAGACTGAGATTGAAGATTGAAGATTAAAATTTGACCAGTGAGGACAAAGAAATTTTAGCTCCTATTGTTTTGATTGGTCAAATTTCAATCCTTCAATCTTCAATCTCAATATTTAATGCGTAGTCTGATTCCGGCCTTAGATTTGCGAGATATAGGTTACGTTTACACCGGGCGCTTAGTCCGCGACCTAAACAACGGGCGTTCTTGTTTAACCTATAGGTTAAACAAAGACATCTATTGTATAGGTCGCGGACTAAGCGCACTGTGTTGAACCAGGCCATTGTAATCTGAAATGCGTAATCTCACTTACGACCTGCGACCTGCATTCTGCATGCTATGTAGGTCCGACTAAACGCGTATGAAACGCATGCAACGTGATCGCCTCGCGTCCGGTATTCTCGGTCGACTGAACACAATCGATTCAAAGGACGCGCCGATAATTTCACACCGCTGCGCGACCCGCGACCGATAGATTCAAAAATCCATTTGAAAGAGAGGGAAAAAGAAAGTTTGAAAATGTAATAACATTCTGGAAGAGAAAAAAATGCCACAAGTTTAAAAGTCCATTGACTGAAACTGTCTTGTTGGATTAACGAATTCTATGAGATTCAGAGATTCTTTTTCGTAGGATTTTACTGTCACATGTATTCTGTTTCTCTCTCTCTTTATGCGTGATTTTTTGACGGATTTTCGGATGATTAGAAATGTACGACAAAGATTGATGTTTTTCTACACGAATTCGCGCAATCAAATGTACGCAATTAGAAACACTTGTCAAAATCACACGAGAGAGAAGAACACACACTCACTACTTCATTTCTATTCTTCTATATTTTTTTTATCTCTTTTTGTCTTTCTTGAGAATAAAAGAAACATGGCGGACCAATCAAAATTGTCTGTCTTATGTCCAGATTCTTATTAGAGTCTCTACATGAGAGACGCCACGGCCATAACGGTGTGAAATTGTCCGCGGATATTTCAAATTTTCGTATTCGAGCGCTATCTATGTTTAATCCATAGACGTTAAAAGAAATAGATGCAGCGCACGCTACATATTTCTCGTGACGTAGGATCAAATTCCAAAAGAAAAACGGATAGAAAAATGAGACATCAAAAATTTTTTCTATTTTTATTTTAAAAAATAAGCACCGTGTATATAATATTAAATAAAAATTCATGATTTAAATTTTTTGTCCAAAAATGTGAATTTTTATTTTTTGTTGAACAGTCATGTATGTACAATGAACAAGTATATTGTAGATCAGACTTGGAGCCGGGTTGCACATTTCAACCGATTTTACCTACTATCATCCCTACTCCTTTTATTTCATAGCATTTAAACTGCGTGCGGACCTGCTGCAATTTTTTTCATAATTTTTATACGAATTGGAACATTTTTCAATTGATGGAGCAAAAATGGAGGGGCTATTTCTCCGAGATACCCGGTGCCAAATGTGCATTACTGATGTGCAACCCGGCTCCAGATTTATTGTAGATAGGAAAATGCCTAATCCGGAAATACGGAATTAATGATGATTTAGTAAACGTGTTATCTACTACGTACGTCGTGCACGCGATAAAAACCGGAAATGCCATGTGAAGGCTGTCGTATTACGCTGATTAGGCGAGAGCGTAATTAACCTAATTTCTTTTCAATTCGCGTGCAAGAGTATCTGAGACAAATAAAGCAGATAGAGACGCATTGTGACGATATGCCAACTAATGAATTTATTTGTTTAATGACAGATGGCTCGTCGCCAACGCGGGAATTATAATTGTATGATTCGTTGATAGTATAATTCAAAACAAAGAATAATTTAATTTCATATATATATATATAACTGCCGCAATTAAAATGTAAGATACTAAAATAAAGCCGATCTCAGGCAATCTCGACTACAATAACATAAAATGAAATGAAACATAAACACATGTATGTCATAGGAGCAAAGAAAATATAGAGTAATCTAAAGAATGCTGAAGTTTCTACTTATCAATATATCAGCTCTTTAATTCTCTAAATCAATAATACGCAATCTTTTTAAGGAGGCATATTTTCATAAATAAATAAATGTCATGCCATATAATATCATTTTGTTTGAATAAAATAGAAAATATAATTTCATATTTTTGCGGCTATGAGCTAGCTGATTGCAAAAAATTCATAGGTAGACTACAGGTTTCGCATCACTGCTTTAAATCATCAATTATAATTTTTATATCTAAAATTTTGCTCGTCAAAATAAAAAAATATATTAATAATATTAAATGTAGACATTTTAAATATTAAATAAAAGCCTTTAAATAGGCATTTGATTAAGAACAGGCGTTATTACTTCGATGTTTTTGAGCGGATTTTCAGGCACTAGAAACTTGCGATCTCTGGCACGGTTCGATGATAATTACCGATGTGTCGTTCCATTGTCTCGTTTTCACGCAGAATCCAGTAGCATATCTTACAGTATCTCTGGCAGTGAAATTTGACGTGTGTTGACAGAGAAAATAAAGTTGCCATCGGTTCTTGACAAAGATTGCACGAGTATCTTAAAATACGTCGATCGGCAACCTGAAAAATTCGACAATGAAATTTTTGTTTTCAATTTTTTGAACAGGTCGATACATATTAAAAAATGAAAAAAATTAATGTTTCACTTTCTCTTTGGTTAAAGATTAGCTCTTTAAAGTCTAATGTACGTCTATGTATCAGCGTTTTTAAAAAAATATATCTTTTAATTATGTTTTTTAATATTAAGCTATTTAGTTCAACTAAAATTTGTTTTAAAGGAAATTATTCATTATGGACTGGATATTATGAGCATTGCAGGTAATATGGTCTTATTTTATTTCATCAAGATTCTAGTTATGAAAAATTATATTGACAAAGCTTTGTTAAAATATTTGATCTAATTATAGAATTTTTTACTACTTGTTACTGTAATAACATCTTATGATGTGCATATAATTAAAAACTTAAATAATTCCCTAAAAGGCACGAAAAAGTAGAGTTACAACAAAACTCTTCTTTGATATAATTACTTTACTTAAGACAAGTTGCTATGATAAAAAAATAAGTAAATATTTGAATTTCATTGCTTCGAAACGTTCATTGATCGCTTCGGAAATTTTCCTCAATTTGTCTGACTAATCGCCTCGCGTCATTTGACACCCACATTATTTTCGCTTTTCTCTGGAATCATTTGCAAGAAACGCTGAGAAGAAAGGAGTTCGGACATTTCCTCCAGAGGAATTGGAGGAAAAAGTTGACCAAGACTGCTGGCTTTTAACGCCAAACAGCGAATGAGTTGAAGGAAATTGTAAAAAACGCAGACAATCAAGATACAGCTTAATGTCGTCTTTCAGTTCTTATCCCGCATGACGTATTGCGCCCATCGATGCTCTCGTCTTTTCCTTCGTCACGTCGCAATATTGTCGTTGAGGCTAACCGTTACTTTGTCTAATACGTCCGTTAAGAATGAGGTCGAGAAGAGACTCCAAAGTTTCGCCAAGGAACAGAAAGAAAAATTCTTCCATTTTTCTACCTTTCTTTTAGCTAGTAGCTAATTTTTAGAAAATGGTGTAAAATAGAAAACAAACGATTTTGTGTGTAGTTTTTCAAGAGAACCTTCTCTTTTTCGACATTGTAAAGTATTGTGGTCTCTCTGAGTTAAATGTTCATATAGATTTTTTAATTAACTGATTTTATGTACCTACGGTATCATTTTGTAAATTAAGTTAGCTAATACATGCAATTTTAAGCAAACTTTTATACTTTAATACACTCTTGACAAGAAATTTTTATTCGTTTTTTATACCTCAGAAATTTACAGATATTTAAAACAAGTAACAATTTCAACACTAGAAATAAAAACGGATTAAAATGGAAGTAGATATATAATATTAAGATTAAGTTTATGTAGGATAACACAGAAAACAATGCAATAGGAAAAAAAGTATATATTTTTTTAACAATTAAATTTTCATTTAATTTAAATTAAATTTACTATTTAAGTTAAAAAAAAAGAATATAAGTTAAAAAAATAGAATATTCGAACACCCATAGCTAAATTTTATTTGTAATAAAATTTGATTTGACATATAAATAACAAAAGTGAATAATAATAATAATAATAATAATAAAATGGCATTTCTCATAAATAATATCTACTTACAACAGCCGCATCACCGCTGCCACCACTGTCCATCCGTTTCTCAGAAATTACAGTGTAATGCGGCATTTTCGTACCAATATCTTTTCGTCGTAGTAGGATAATTGGTTGTCTTTGTGTCTCGAACTGCAAATTATAAATTTTTATTCCGAGATGTACACATTTTAAGAATTATCATCAAACGACAATAAACGCATGCATGTATCAATCGTCGTTTTATTTCCATGAAATATTATACTTTGAAATTATTTATAAATTAACATTTAGAAATCCTCTAAGAGTAATTCTTGTTGCCGCAAATAAGGAGAAATACCTTTCTCACAGTTTGCATCGGTGTTGGGATGTCGTAGATGAAGTCTTTCTTCGTCATTTTCTCACTGATATTGCGATTACACCGCAGATTGTACTTGGAGACATCCAATAACTTGGCAGTTGACGATACAACCTCTTGACAAGCGTTCATATTTGCATTCTGCTAGTCATTTTTCTCATGTTTACTCGACTATCGATTATTCTTTCAAAACAAAAGCTTTCCACATGAGAAATAATTGAAAATCAAGGACGTGTTCAAAAACACTTTACTTTCAGCTTCTACAGCCGATATATTCATAAGGCATAGTCCATTATTTTAATGCGGAGTCTACAATAGAAGTCATAGCGGTCGTAGAGTCTTAAGTCGTCGAAAATTAACCACAGTCGAATATGAGAAAAATAATCGACTATAATTGGTCAATTTTCTATGACTTCTATTGTAGACCCCGCGTAAGAATTGTCTTAAGATGCTAACACTCTCTGATTGGTTTCATGACATTTTAAGAGACTGTATTTAAGACGATCTATATAAATATAAAAATCGATTACGAGTACCGGCTTAAGAATAAAACTCTCAGAACAAACACAGTAAACAAACAAAATTTTAACAAATTATTTCAAGCAAACACCGGCGGAAAATACAGAGGAAAACTTGCTGCTGTCGATTTTGAAATCTGAGAAAAATATGCAGAGCGTGAATTTAATTAACATAAATCAATTTATTATGAAATTTATTTTTGTTTTTGTTATAATTATAATTACAGATGTTCCTTACAGCATATATAATTTCTCATCTTATGAGAATCACATCGATATAAGATTTAGCAAAACGCATCTTCTTATTTAACTTTACTTATTATGTCAATTTATTTAAAAATCATCGATTTCGCATTAAGTTATTAGATGTGGCATATATAAACAAGGAATAAGAGTAGTCTAAATTTTTATCTTAAATCTACTTCGTAACAACCTGTGTTATGTCAAAGGACGAGACACAGCTCGTACTTTTAACTTTTATATTGTTATCGCGATTTCTGAAAACGCGATATTATGTATGTACATGTGATTCTACCCTAGTCATCAATAGCCGCCGTTATATATACATATATGTATGTATTATATATATATATATATATATGTGTATATATGCATATAATATATATTATACATATAATATATATATATATATTTAATATGTATATATATAAAATAGTTAATAAAAATAAAATGTTAAAAATAAATAGAAACATTTTATTTCTAAAAAAAAAGAAGTATATTACGGCGCGATATTAATTTCGTATGACTAGAGAATTGTGGCATTGAGAGGTGATAATAATTATCGGACAAGTAAGTTACGCACTTCTCCCTATTGAACAAAGACATTATTTTGTTTTTTCTTTTATCACTCTAAGGAAGGAGACTATGCTAGCCTTTATATTCAACTCATTTACAATTGAAATATTCTAATTGTCACTGGACAAACTTTTGACATATGCTGCATTTGTAGCATAACAAAGCTCATTGAATTAAGGGATTAGATCTGTTAAAAAATCAACATAAAAAAATATATCTTTTGATGTTGAAAGAAATAACTTTAGCCCTTTAATTTATGAACCAAATTATTTTGGTTCATAAATTTACTCAAACGATATTTACATAATTCTAATCATGACAATAATTTGCAGCAATTTAGAAAAAAAGTTTCAAAATTCAGTTTTAAATTCAGGAAACAATGTAATGTTTTCATTAGAAATAACCGCTATACATATATATATATATATATAATGTATATCAATTCAATGATGAGTTTTAAAGATACCCTCTAAAAATTAAGATTACATCTAGAAAAATGTGTAGAAACATTACAACATCATATATTGATTACTTCTTTAAAAAATGTCGAAATTTTTATTTACAATGCTATATTGGATCTAATCCTTTAAATCAATTGTACTTTTTTATATATAGAGCCTTGCTCATTACGTCAAAATATAAAATATAATAATATTAAGTGTGGATATTTTACATATAAAATGTAAGCTTTTAAATAGGCCTTTGATATTAAGAATAGGCATTATTAGATCGTTGGCCACACACTTAGAAAGAAGAGAGAGGGAAAAAGAGAGAAAGAAGCATATGCTCTCTCTGCATTCTGTGTAAAATATTTAGAAGACATAATAACCTCTATATAATACCGAGAATGTTCAAACGATTTCACTCTCGGAATTAAAAGCGACTACTTATTTATTGTAAAATAAATCATGGATTCGTTATATAATAAAACAGATAAAAATCACTTTATTCCTCTAAAAATGATGATTATTGCGCGAATCGAATGCTATTTAAATGAAATTTCTAATGTTAGGATTCTCTGTTTTTCCTTAAAGAGGAATCTTGATGCAACAGGAGAGGTATTCTTTCTTGTCTAACCTCGGGAAGTGTCGCTAGCTCTTGAACCGGACTTCGCTGCCATATACTTCTCGTTGCCATTTCTTGGTAACCCCTTCTTCTTACCTAGAGATCAAACATTTTTATTTTTTACATATCTTGTCAAAGTTGCAACGTTCTTCATTACGTTGTACTCGTGATGTTTGTTACATCATGAAAATTGATCAAAATACTTACTTGTCTATGATGAAGTTCATGCAGGTACAATGTAGACAAAGACATATCGGCAGCGGTTAATTCTGTAGGTACATACGGATCCGTATGCGTCTCCATAACGTAACTGTGGCCCGATCCGAATACAGAAGCACCTAGCGACTGATTCGATATACCTTGTTGCAAATCATACAGGAATCCTCTATCATTGTGCAATGGACCTTCCGTCCTGGACACACCTCGACGTAGAACGGTAGATTTTGTGGCAAACGATTGATCGACGCCGACCGATGTGGCTGATGTACCCGGCTGATTTGTAAAAATGTTACTCATGCTAGGTACACTCACTTGATTGATCGTACTTCGAATAATATTCGATACATGATCTCTGTACTGTAACAATATATTAATGTATTAATGATACATGAAGCAAACAACTCTAGTAAAATTATTTAGTAAACGAAAGAAATATCGAGCACTTACGCCAAGACCGGACAGACTGTTCAAACTAGCTATCAGGGGATTGTTATAAGGATCGGGATCGGCAGTTACTTCCTTCTTAGCTCTTTCTCTCAAAGCAGTTACGAAATTTTCCGCATGGGACGGCGGCTTCCATTCGGGATTCGTCAGGGTGAAATGTATGAGGGACAATTCGGTCTTGCCATCTTCAGCCTGAGTATAATGATTTGACATCGGTACGTGGTACTTGTCCGGATCGATGCCATATTGATTGTCGTATCCTGCATTTTGATGCAGTCTCTCCTCTGGCAGCGGAGAGACTGTGGGACTGTGCGCTACAGTCTGCCACATGGGATTGCCGTGTCTACGTACGTCCATCTGAGCGAAGCTACACACATCACCGACTCCAGCCACTTCAATCGTGAAGTTACGAAAAAAGTCTACAATCTCTAAGGCTCGGTGTCGCATACGGAAGCACAAAATGTATGTTGTTACGAATGGAGAAACCAATTCTTCCAACAGATGCACCGCGCGATATTGGAATAACTGTGCCACTTGCGATCTGGTGGTATGCGTATGAGCAGTCCCTCGCCAACTATCCGGTCTGTAATGTGTGTGAGCCAGTACAGCAGTCAGAAGAGTCTCGGGACACCAAACTAGATTCTCATCGGGTACAATTGCCTTCGCGGCTGCTGCCACCGCGCCTAACATGGTCATGTAGGCAACCACGCGTTCCATCGAGAATATTGGCTCATAGATCAATGTTATAACCAGTAACACTGCCAACACGCTACCGGTGATAAACGCTATGTGCTTTGCGACTATTGTCATTATCGGAGACGTGAAGCTGCTCATATACTTCGACGCAGGACGGTACGCGCGACTGAGACGCGCATTCATTTCGTGATCGAGTTCGTTGAAATGTCGCAGGTACAATCGACCATATAGGGACCAAGTCCGCATCGCTAGAACACTTGGCTCTCGTTTAATAGTCTGTCGATAATATTATTGTCATACGTTAGTATTGATTATCGTGTTAAACAAATTATTGGCCGTGTTTAGCAGAATGTTTATTTTGCAACTGTTGGAAGTTTTTTGTTGAGATGGGACTATTCCTCTAAATCAGGCCTGTCCAATTTGAGTTCCAGAGCCAAAACGCAAAGCCATTGATGCAAAAAAATTCAATGTGGGTAAAATTTTGGGGACTGTAAAGTGTTGATATGGCATCTGAATGACGTTTATCAACACTTTATAGTTTCTAAAATCTTACATTGAATTTTTTTGCGTCGATGACTTTGCGTTTTGTTCCGGAGCTCAAATTGGACAGACCTGCTCTAGATCAAAGTATAATTCAATCGGTGCGAAGAAAACTTCCAACAGTTGCAAAATAAACATTCTGTTGAACGCGGCCATTGATTATTATAAATCAACATAATTACTCACTTCAGCATAATTGAAAAACGTATAAAGAACCTGCCATAGAAGAATAAGGAAACACAGGACAAAATTTGCGATACCGACCCATAGAATATGTTTAGACAATGATCGTGCGAGTTCTTGCCTTTTGTTTAACTTTTTATAATCTTCCTTTAGATGCCAATTATTTTCGAATGGTGACCATGGTCCCCCTAGAAAAGCGACATAAATTAGTTATTTCTAATAAAGTTATATAATATACATATTACGCAGTTATGCTTACAAAATAGTAATAATTCTATATTATATTTCAAACCCCGTGTCAAAAAAATGACTTCCCCTATAATGGGGACTTTGAGTCGCACAGGTAAGAGCGATTTGTTGATCATAGCTACCATGTAATTTTTATGTCTTAATATCCTATGGTATATATCTAATTCCGTAAGTTCTCTTTTGTGAATGCACATCTCTTGCTCCTTCTGCACTTCTATCACACGTTTCTGAACTTCGTGCCACGTAAAATTGTCTAGCTCGCTATCAGCGATTTTGAGCGCTGTATTAAAGAACATTTTGATCTCCCAGAACTGCGTTAGATGATACAAAACTTTGAGGAATTGGAGGATAAAGAAAATTGTCGCAACTACGAGAAGACTCCAATAAAATGAAGAGATCGACTTTATACAATCTCCCATGCACATTATCGCATCGCTTTTGTG